GAAAACAAGCTTGTTCCCTCCTCCATATGACATCCCTTCAAATATTTAGAGGGCTATCAAATCCCCTTTTAACCATCTCTTCTCCAGGCTAAACATACCCATTTCCATAAGTTGTTCCTCATAGGGCATAGTTTCCATTTTTGCTTTATTTAAGGACTGGCTTATTTGCGCTTTATTATCTCTTTAAAGATGGAGCTGGCCCCCATGTGATAAAATCCTAGGTGGGGCCTGACCAACACAGAATACAGTGGCACTATTACTTCCCTTGATCTAGATACTATACTTCTATTAATGCAGCCTAAAATCGCATTGGCCTTTTTAGCTGCGGCATCACACTGTTGACTCAAGTTCAACTTGTGGTCTACGAGGACGCTTAGATCCCTTTCCCATGTAGTCACGTTAAGCCAGGTGTCCCCCATCTTATATCTATGCATTTCATTTTTCCTCCCTAGATACAGTACCTTGCATTTCTCTGTGTTGAGATTCATTTTGTTAGCTTTGACCCAACTTTCTAATCTATTAAGGTCACTTTGAATTTTCATCCTGTCCTCTGGGGTATTAGCTACTCCTCCTAATTTGCTATCATCTGCAAATTTGAGAAGCATGCCCCCTATTCCTTCATCTATCAGGGGTAGGCAACCTTTCCCCTTTAAGGGCCGAGGGACTTCAGCTCCCAGAAGCCTCAGCCATGTTGGCCAATAGTCCCATGTTGGCCAATAGCTCCTGGGATTCTGGGAGATGAAGTCCCCCAGCCCTTAAAGGGGAAAGGTTGCCTACCTGTGTAATTTCTCTTCAGGATGAATTCAATGAAGCAAGAACTGTCCTAATAATAATAATAATAATAATAATAATAATAATAATAATAATAATAATAATAACAACAATAACAATAACAACAATAATAATAATAATAATAATAATAATAATAATTATTCAATGAAACAAGATCTTAAACTGTCATTTAAATAATAATAATAATAATAATACATTTTAATTATTTTTTAAGAAAATATTTTAGAAAACACTAGGACACAGAGATTAGGACACAGAGCAATGGATGCAAAGTACAATTTATTTTATTTAAAAATAAAATAAAATATTTTTTAAAAGTGGCGGTTTTGTTTCAAATTAAAAGAGAGATAAAAGCCACTAATTGGGAAATGTAGTAAAAAAATATTTTTTAAAAGTGGAGGTTTTGTTTCAAATTAAAAGAGAGATAAAAGCCACTAATAGTTTGTCTTGAAAGAGGGTTACAAAAGCTACAGAGCCAAAAAACAAAACATTCAGTCTTCTTGTTGGCTTGGCTCTCCCCTGAGGCTCTTTCCACAGATAGCGACGCCATCTTGTGGGGGTTCCTGCCTGGTAACCACCTCCCGCTTGTTCGTAACCCAAAATGGCGCCTCCCACTCAGCTTCACCAAACTCACAGATTAGCAGAGCAATATGTTACCCTTCTCTTTCGTATTCACAAACCCCTGGAGCGATCCAATGTATAGACCCAAAGCAGGGCTATAGTCACACCCCAATAGGGGACGGTAAGTGCCTCGTGAGATTTACAAAACAGCCAATATGCCTTTCTCATGGACGCCGCCATGTTGTACGGACAAGGGAAAAGGTGGCTTTCATCTGGGGTTCTCCATTTCCGTTTCCGCCTGGGCTGGGATGGAAGGGGGGTTGCAGTTGGAAGCTGAAGGTAAATACAACATTTTTGTTTTGTCCTTCTTCCTTGCTTTTCTGTTTGGGTTCAGCTGGGAGTGTCTTTGAGTGTAGAGTGGGGAAAGCAAAGGTGGAGTTTACCTTTAGATGGGTGCAGAAGGCAATTAAGGGGAATGGAGGCAGAGTGTGGCCCTGCCTAAAATGGGCTGGAGCTTAAAACCTGGGCTCCTCTGGTTCAGTCCATGTCCAAACCTGGAAACTCACTGGGGTAGCCTTGTAGCCCTTAAAGACATGGGAGTGCCAACACATCTGATAGCTCTGGTGAGGAATCTGTACTCAGGACAAGAGGCTACAGTCAGAACAGAACATGGAGAAACAGAATGGTTCCCAATTGGCAAAGGACTCAGACAAAGCTGCATCCTTTCATCCTATCTGTTCAATTTATATCAAGAACATATTGCAAGGAAAGCAGGCTTGGACATGGAAGAGGGAGGAGAGAAAATAGGAGGAAGAAACATAAACAACTTGAGATATGCTGACGACACCATAATACTAGCAGAAAATCTCACAGACCTGGAACAACTACTAAGGAAGATCAAAGAAGAAAGTACAAAGGCAGGCTTACTGTTGAACATAAAGAAAACAAAAATAATGACCACAGAGGATTTAGACACATTCAAACTAGACAATGAGGAAATAGAGATAGTAAAAGAGTTCTTATATCTGGGATCAAATATTGATCAGAATGGAGACTGCAGCCAGGAAATCAGGAGAAGATTAAGAATGGGGAGGGTGGCTATGAAAGAACTAGAAAAGGTTCTAAAATGCAAAGATATACAACTCAGCACAAAAGTCATCGTATTCCCTATTACCATGTATGGATATGAGAGCTGGATAGTCAAGAAAATCGATGGGAGGAAAATCAACACATTTGATATGTGGTGCTGGAGAAGAGTGCTGAGGATCCCATGGACAGCCAAAAGGACAAACAAATGGGTCCTAGAACAGATCAAGCCAGAAATATCCCTAGAAGCCAAAATGACCAAATTGAGACTGTCATACTTTGGACACATCATCATGAGAAGGCATGAATCGTTGGAAAAGACAATAATGTTAGGAAAGGTGGAGGAGAGTAGAAAGAGAGAAAGGCCACCTGCTAGATGGATGGACTTTATTAAAGAGACCACGAATAGGAGTTTGCAGGAGCTGGGCAGAGCAGTAGAGGATGGGGGGCCTGGAGATATCTCATCCATAGGGTTGCCATTGGTTGATATCAACCCAAAGGCAGTTAGCAACAACATAAGGTGGAAGTTATTATAAGAGTTTGTGTGGCAGCAAAAATATTACAGTCTCGCAGAACAGATTTTATTTTATAATGGAATAGACCTGGACTGAAGTTCACTTCATTATACACACCCAGTGTGTGTTCCTTAAATTGGTAAATATATTTATTTACACACTTGAGAGAGAAGAGACTACAAAAACTGCAAGGCTTTCCCAGTGAGTTTCCAAGTACTGGACATGGATTCAACCAGAAGAGCCCAGGTCTTCAGATCCAGCCCACTCTAGGGAAGAAATATTGCAAGGGCAAGAAATGTTGTTGTTGTTGTTGTGTGCTCTGAGGTAATTTCTGATTTATGGTCAACCTATCGTGGTGTTTTCTTGACAGGATTGGTTCAGAGGAGGTTTGCCTTTGCCTTCCTCTGAGGCTGAGAGAGTGTGACTTGTCCAGGGTCACGCAGTGGGTTTTCATGGTCAAGCAGGAGTTTGAACTCTGGCCTCCCAGTGTTGAGTATTGTCCAGTACTCAAACCACTGCACCACACTGGCTCTTGCTAGAAATATTCATTGTGTCCCTTCAAGTTGTTTCTGACTTATGGTGACCCTAAGGCCACCCTATCACAGGATTTTCTAGGGCTGAGACTGTGTGACTGCCCCAAGTTTACTCAGTGGGTTTCATGGCTGAGCAGGGATTCAAACTTTGGTCTCCAGAGACGTAGTCCAACACTCAAAACACTACACCACGCTGGCTCACTAGAAATATCGACAATGGTAATATAATCAGAACTGGTTGTTGTTGTTGTTATTGTTGTTGTGTACCTTCAAGTCATTTCCATCTAATAGCAATCCTAAGGCGAACCTATCGTAAGGTTTTCTTGGCACGGTTTGTTCAAAGGAGGTTTGCCATTGCCTTCCCCTGAGGCTGAGAGTATGTGACTTGCTCAAGGCCACCCAGTGGGTTTCATGGCCTGGCAGAGAATTGAACCCTGGTCTCCAGAGCCTCAGTCCAGTACTCAAATCACTGCGCCATGCTGGCTCTTCAGCATGAGTTGGAGTGGATGCAAAATGAGAATAGTGAGTCCTCTGCAGAAATAGGGACAGCTATTATCTACCTGCAAATGAAGATTGCACTTCCTGCCATCTGATGAAGTGGACTGTAGTTCACAAAGCTTCTCCTGGCAGTGGGGAATGTATGGCTCCAGATTCTTTGGACTGAAACTCCCCTCATTGCTTACCCCTTGGCTATACTTACTAGAGCTATTGGGAAATGCAGTAAAAAATCTGTTGTTGTGTAACTTCAAGTTGTTTCTGTCTTGTGGCAACCGTAAGGTGAACCTATCACAGAGTTTTTTTTTTGGCAAGATTTGTTAAGTAGGTGTTTGCCAGTGCCTTCCTCTGAAGCTGACTTGCACAAGGTTGTCCAGAAGATTTCTATGGTTCAGCAGGGATTTGAACCCTGGTCTCGCAGAGTCCAACCACTGTACCACACTGGCTCTCTAAAAACATCTGTAGAGACCCTCCCCCGATTCCTCCACCTCAGGCTCACAACATAATATTTTTGTCTTTAAGGGGCTTTGGAGCCCTTGTTTTTGCGAGTTATATCTGTGATTGCATGGTTGCAGTGCTAGCTCAACTCTTAGGGTGAAAAAGCAGTTCATGACCATGTAAATTATTAATACTAATTAAAAATTAATGTAAATACAATGGCAAGATTACCCAGGAGTAGATCTGGTGAAAGGTTTCTGGTTTTGTACATTTTTATCTCTTTTTTTTAGATCCAGAATTGCATTTTCAGGTGCCAGAGGTATATAGGGTTGGTCCATTTAGATCAATATTGGCTGCTTAGTTTGGCAGCAGCTCTCCAGGGTTTCAGGCAGAATTCTTTCATAGCTGTACTTGGAGATACTTGATATTCCTTGGTGTTTTCCCATCCAAGTATTAATCCAACCCAGCCTTGCTTAGCTTCCAAATGCAGAGATCAATGTGTTTTGACTGGTATGATGGTTTTCAAAATGGTATGCTTTTATTTATTTCTTACACTTCTGTACTGTCCAGTATCTCAAGCTATTCAGGTTGCCAGGTTGTGGGACAGCCATACGCGTGGGGTTTTCCAGTCCTGTGCAGAGTTTGGAAGCTAATTTTTTGAACTAAAAAGAGGAAGGAGACTTATAGCACCTTTGATCAGTCTTTTGTTTTCAGATGCATCTGAAGAAATGAGCTGCATTCTCTTAAAACTTATGCTGAAACAAATTGGTCAGTCATAAAGATTCCTTTCTCTTTTTATACAGGTTGAGTATCCTTTATCCAGAATTCTGAAATTTGAAATATCCCAGAAGCCAAAATTGTTCATATGGGTTGCTGAGATAGTGACACCTTTACCTTCTGTTGGTTCTGTGTACACAAACTTTGTTTCATGCACAACATTATTCAAAATATTATGTAATATTACATAGTTACGTAATAAAATGAAACAAGTGTGGAATTTGGCATTGATGGACAAATTAACCTCTGACATGGAAAACACAAGAGATAAACAGACTAAGACAAAGTTTTTCATCAGATGGTATATCTTTATTAACCATAATGTGGACCTCACTTTCCATCTGGTATGCAGGTCAATATTTGGAGGAATGTTGAATGAAAACATTACATCATTCAAAGCCAGTTTTAGCTCTCTATTTCAGCTCAGAGATGAATGCAAAAACTAAAATGTGATCATTGTATAATGTTCATATCATTATATTAATTTTAAAAAAATCAGTTAAAAATCCCAAGGTGCTTCATTTAACTTTTCTTCTCTTTTTGTGTTTCCCCTTCAGTTGTGATTCAGTCCCAGTCCCTGGTGCTGGACACCACCTTGGAAGAGGTGCCTTAAGGATGGTCAGCAGCTGAGGGGGTGGAGGATATGCCTGGGAGGAAATGGTCTCCACCCCCTCCATGCGTGAGTAAGCTGGTGTGTGTGCCTCCATCAGTTAGGAAATCTGTAGCACCCAGAACACTGCAATTTTCTAAAGACATCCAACTGGTCTGGTGTTCCTAGAGGTGCCTCTTTACACTCCCAATTGGAGCTCTTAATTTCTGCCTCCTTCCTTTTCTGTGTGTGCCAAATGCATCTTGGTGAATCAAGGAGCCCTGTGCCAACTTGCTGCTGATGGGCCTGCCTTTAAAATGGGGCCTGAGTTTCTTTGAAAAGGCCAACCGCCCAGACAGGGAGATCGGAGGCTACAGAGGAGCAGCGGAAGCCTGACATGGAAGGCTCTAGCCAGCGTTTGGTGCTGGGCATGAACACGGGAGATGGGCGACAGACACCTCCTGGGGAATTGCGGACGCCCACAGAAGAGGGGGAAGAGCAGAGGATTCCTGTGCCTGAAGCCATCTGTGATGGTGGTGGGGATTCCAAGAACCCCCAAAGGAAAGAGGAAGAAGAGGAGGAGGAAGAACTTGACCCCCGCATCCAGGTGAGATACATTTTGTTCAAGTTTGGGGAATCTTGTTCAGCCCAAGTGCCATATGAAGTTTTAACAGATGTTCTCAGGATGGTGGGTGAGGCCAAAGGCAAAAATCCACCACATTTTAGAAGTGCTTACTGCCAATAACTAAGTTTTATTTTTGTTGTTATGCACTGTTATGACAAGCCTGTGAGTGAGAGACCTCCAAGAGACCCTGTTAACAACAGCTCTGCTCAGTTTTTCAAACTCAGTCTTAGGGCCTTTGCAGACTGCCAGAAATAGTGCAAATTGAGTCCACTTTAAAGGTTAGGGTTAGGGAATCATGGGAACTGTAGTTTATTGTGGCACCAGAACTCTCTGACAGAGAAGGCTCAATGTCTCAGAAAAAAAACAACAATTCCCACGATTCCCTAGCACTAACCCTAACCCTTAAAGTAGACTCAATTTGCGCTATTTCTGGCAGTCTGCAAAGGCCCTTAGTTCCTCAGTCCAGCTGTAGTGGAATCTTTCTCTTTCCCTACTGCTTCCTCCTTTACCAGTCATTCTCATATTTTCTAATTTGGTATGTCAGCTCATGATGTGACCAATGTACAGTTGCCTCAGTTTAGTCATATTGGCTTCTTGGGAGACTTCAGGCTTCTGTTGTTCTTAGATTCATTTGTCTTTTTAGCATCCCACAGAACTTTCTTCCAGCATCACATTTCAAATGAGTTGATTTTCTTCCTGTCAGCCTCCTTTACTGTCAGGCTTTCAGATCCATATATAAGAATTGAAAATACCAAGCTTTAGGAGAGACATTTAACTTTTTAGGGTTGGAAAAAACTGTACAATAGCTGGGAGATGATCAGTTGATAGTTATATAAGAAAGGGAGCATGGCTGTCTGGAAAACCTTAAAGGTCTGTGGGAGGGCCAGATTTGGGTTCAGAGATTCCCCACCCCTGTGCTAGACTCTTTTTTTCTTTTGTTGTGGATCTGAGAAGCAGACCTGTAGGTCATTTTGTGTTTCACTGTTAGCACCATGTAAACTCTTAATCAAATTCATTCTAAAGGCATTCACAAAGTTCAAGCATAAACTGACTGAACTGCTCTCTTCTCACCAGAGGAATTTAGAGTTTCCAACCAAATAGGTTCTGAAAGGGTCAGTTTGGGTGGTGGTGCTTGTTCTTCTTTGTTTTGAGACCTATTCTCAGTAATTTTTACATAAACACACAATGTCTTTTAGCAAACGTAAACAGCATTAGTTTGATTTGGGTATATGCAAGTTTGGGCCAGTCTTCTTGACCAACCCCAAATTGAGTAATCAGCAGAAAAATGCTTCTCCTTAAAGGCACAACACCGTACTTCTTTTATACTCCCCCAAAATTGTTAAAACAGGGATATGCATTAGTTCTCTCTCTCTAAGTATGAACTCCTCCAAACAAGACTATGAAGTATCATCTGGTACCCTTCTCTACCTAGTTCAACCCACACTGAAGCTTTCAAGAGTGTAGTGTCATAGTGAAGAATGTGTTGTGACTGCAAATGAGGTTCAAATTCCCAGTTGATTGTAAAGTTCATTGGGTGAACTTGAGCCAGTCACTTTTATCTTTGACCTACTTCATGGGGTGGTCATGAGGATAAAATGAGGAAGAAGGTCGTGTATGATGCCTTTAACTCTTTAGAGGAGAAGTGTGATAGAAGTGTCACTAATAGATAAAATAAAGCTAAAAACCTGATAGCAGATGACACTGGTAGAGGGTGGGGGCTTGGGGAGGGAAACAACATAGCAACATGTTTATATTTAAACTGAAACCAGCCCCACCTTGGATACATGTGATGGAAAATCACAAGCCGCTTTTATTTTAGAAGCTTGTGATTTTCCATCACTTCTGTTTGCAGGGATAGGCAACCTTTCCCTTTTAAGGGCCGAGGGACTTCAGCTCCCAGAAGCCTCAGCCATGTTGGCCAGTAGCCCCATGTTGGCCAATAGCTGCTGGGATTCTGGGAGCTGAAGTCCCTCGGCCCTAAAGGGGAAAGGTTGCCTACCCCTGGCAAAATGTGCCAGTGGGAGCCTGGCTTATTGCCGCCTTATCCTTCTTTTCATTCTTCATCTTCATCTTCGTTCATCCCAAGCTCTTGTCAACAAAATTAAACATGAAATAGAAATACTTTTAGAAACTGCATCTGTTAAACAGGCGGAAAGCTGTCTAGTAGGCAGCTGTTTGTAATCTCCTATAAGAACTTGGACCTGGGGAAATGCTAAAAGTTCAAGTCTCCAATGGGATCTTTTATCCTATGTTTACAAGGGGGCTAGGGAATAGATTGATAGATTTATTTGGGGATTCAAACATATAAAGACACTCTAACATACACTCAAGCACACAAGAACTCAGGAATAAAATAGTTAGATTGGATAGGAAACAGAAGGCTTTCTAATGGTGATAATTACCTGGTGGAGGTTGCTCCAATGATGAATGGTAGATAGAATAATGGATAGACTCAGCCGTGTATGAAAGGGAAAGGACAACGGGAAGAATAGGGACCCAAGTCAGAGTTCACAGTGGCAGTGTCACCATGAAATCTAACCAGACCCAATGTGTCTAAGAT